AAAAAAAGCAACAAATTTTTAATTAATCAGGTAATAATCACCAAATACACTTTTTAAAAATTTACAATAAAGGACTTAATTTGTATTAAAATTTATTTTTTAAGGCAGTGAATAGAAACAAAATTAATAGAAAAAACACTTATTATTATTTGATGCTATAAAATGTCGATAAAAAATTGGTTAACATTTTTAAAATTAGCCAATAAATGTTCGAATTCTTTATTTTCAAGGCAGTTGTAAGCAGAAATCAGAAAAGAAGTTCAATCACTAAATTATTAATTTTTGGGAAGAACAGCTTTGAAAAATATTTTATTTTGCTTGTTTTAAATAAGATCACAAACCAAAGACAAGGTAACGACCCAATATCAACACCACCTGTTTACCCTAAACAGATAACAAATCACGTTACTCTCCACTTATTTAGGGACTTGCTCAACTTTATTAACTTACAATAAACTCAGCTCGCATGTATTTTCAAGCGAAAAATGATTCCGGAGACCCGTGAACGCAAATCGTTGCTTACGACCGGTCAACAGTCGTACCACCAGCCCGGAATCTTCCAATATCCCGGATTTCCGGAAATTGGCAGGTGGGTACTACCTTGAATTTTTTCGTCAATTAAATTTTATCATTGCAGAAAAATTTTCAAACTTGTGAAACGGCGCAAAAACCGAAACCGCGCCATTTTCAAAAATGGCGACTGCAACATCTATTATAAAGGCATCGCAAAGCTTGGGATTCGCTATTTGCACGACATTTTCACTTCTTTGGTTGACATTAACTGGAGGTGGTGTTTGATGATTTTCGCATTGGCTTATTTCGTGTCTTGGCTCTTTTTCGCGTTGATTTGGTGGTTAATTATGTTCACTCATGGGGATTTAGAGGATGAGCATCTTCCTCAAAATCAGGCAGAGTCGAATTGGACCCCCTGTGTCCTCAACATTCACAATTTCACCTCCTGTTACCTCTTCAGTATTGAGACTCAATACACGATTGGCTATGGGTCGAGGACCACGACCGAGGAGTGCCCCCAAGCCATTTTTATCATGTCAATGCAGGCCATCATCGGTATGACCATCGATGCGTTTTTCCTAGGAATAGTCTTCGCGAAAATGACTCGTCCCAAACTACGAACCCAAACTATACTTTTTTCGCGAAATGCCGTAGTGAGTCGCCATGACGGCGATTTGTGCCTCATGTTCCGAGTCGGAGACATGCGAAAAAACCCCCTCATCGGGGCGGAAATAAGGGCACAAGTGGTCAAACCGACCAAAACCAAAGAAGGTGAAGTTATCAGAAATTATCGTACTGAAATCGAGTTGAATGTTGATGGGGGTGACAACAATATATTTTTTCTCTGGCCGATGACTGTAGTTCATAAAATCGATGAAGAGTCACCATTTTACAAAATGTCGGCTAGTGACATGTTGAAGGAACAATTCGAAATTTTGGTCGTTTTGGAAGCCACTGTTGAGAGCACTGGACAGTCGATTCAAGCAAGAACGAGTTATGTGGGGGGTGAAATTCTATGGGGGTACAGATTTGAACCTGTCGTCGACCATTTGAAACGCGAAAATGCCTACGATGTGAATTATGCGAAATTTAACAGTGTTTATCCTGTGGATACGCCTCTGTGCTCGGCGTGTGAGTTGGCGGCGTTTGAACGGGCACAGGAACCTCCTCCAGGTGCGGACTTGATTTTTTCCAATTCAGTTTTTGTTAAAAAAAGTTTTAGAACCGATGAGGTTACCAGAACCGCATTCTTTCGATGATGAGGATGATGATGAGGAGCTTGCAAGGCCACCACCGCCTCCACCCGTCCCCAGGACCAGGAGTAGGAGTATACAAAGGAGTGGACGTTCGTATGGGGGCTACGATGAAGACCYATTACTGCAAATTGCCTCGAGTTATGTGTGACTTGTTTACTTATTTTTAAGTGAGATTAAGTYGCATCAAAGTTCTGTAAATAAACACTTTTGTTTAGTCTTTACATTGAATAAAAATAAACTAAAAAAATTGAAAAGTTTTGATTACAATTCGTAGAAAAATCGTCAAAATTGACAAAAAAGGTTAAATTGTATTAAAACCGGCCGTTAACTTGAAAAAATGTGTACAACTAATTCCAATCCCAAAAAAATTCCAACATTTCAGTAAATCCTAAAAATTTCACCAAAATTTAGGTAATTCCAAAAAAATCCAGTAATTCCAATAATCCATCGTAATTCTTTTTTTTTCAGATTAATCCCTATAATTCCAAATTAAGTTTACTGTAGTTCCATCTTAATTTCCGTAATTCCAAAATAGTTCCTGTAATTCCAAATTAAATAGTTCTAAGAAATTCAAATTAATTTTAAACATATAATTGTCCTTAAAGGTCAGCACCCTCGCTCAAGTACAACTGCTTTATCAATATGGTACTCCAAGTAACTCTAATAATTCAAAAAAGAATTCCAGTAATTCCAAAAAGAATTCCAGCAATTGTTAAAAAATTCCAGTAATTCACATATAAATCCAGTAATTCATAAGTAATTCTAGTAATTTCAAACAATCCAAAGATAATTTCAACAATTCCAAACATTTCCAAATAATTCAAAGCAATTTCCAATTGAATTCCAACAATTTGTGCAACTAATTCCAGAGTGAACGGCCCCTCGATTAAAACGTTCATTTTTAAGCAGTTGCAAAAGAATTTATTAAAAGAATCAAACAGATAAAAATTAATCATAAAAAAATTATAAAGCAAAACAATTAATACATTTTTGGACGTTTCGGCATAAAACATGCTTCCATCTGCCAAAACATTATAAAAAAAGTTAACAAAATTCAAATAACATTAAATACAAAGTGCGCCAGAACTCGCGCTCCAGAGAAAAGTTTTTTTGCTACAGGCTATTAGAAGAGGAAACAAGGAAGCTGTATCCTAAATTACACTCTGTTTAATTTTATTGGTTAATTTTATTGGCAAAATTATTGTATACTACTAAATAATTATAAAACAAACATAAACAAGATCATCAGTATAGTATACAAGATTATCAGTATTGACATAGACATAAAAAATGTCAAATGTCAAAAAATAAATGTCAAAATTTTTTGACTGATAGATTTTTTTAAACATTTTTTCTGTACTCTGAGGGACTACCCAATTACGCCCTTTCAAAGAGGTGCTTGACTTTCCGGACAGCCTGTGTAATAGATCCAAAATTAACCTTATTTTTATAAAACCAAACAGTTTTTTCTAAAGCCAGTCTATTGTAAGTAATTTTATTCACCTTTTGGTTTATTTTAGAAATACGCGTACAATAAATTTGTTACAATATTTTATGCTTCGGCTATCTTCGGGATCACCTCTTTAACTTTTATTAGGTGCCAATGTGTTTCCTCTAATTTACAAGCCCATAAAATTCGGCTAATTTCCATAAATTACAAAAACAAACACTGAGTTTTATAGGCAATTAAACGTCCATAAAATTAATTTGTTGTTGAAATCAGGTCCAGTGGCGATAGCCCCTGACCTGCGACCTTTGACGGAACTAAAATCCGTTTCCTCCTTAAAGAACAGCAAATCCAGGAAACATTTAACTCCAATAAACCCGCAATTGCACTTTCCGTCCATTAGCTCTATTATTTCGTCCTTAGCACCGTTACGAATTCGCGACTCATTTCCAACGAATGAAAATTGGAAAAATTGCCACCGTAACTAATTAGAACAGTTGATAAATTGTCAGCGTGATTGCATTGTTGGTGCAAAGAAATATCCGCTTCCTGGCCTGCCTTTAATTGGGTGTTATCACGATGACCACGAAACGTGACCACTAACCCTCCTCCAATTCAAGACGATTCAAACGCACGACAATTTCCATGTAGTGTTATCTCAACGCAGGTGAAACAACGCGATGACAACTGATTTTAATACAAATAAGAGTAGTAAAGTGGGAAAATGCCCGGACAGAAGCTTTTCGTCAAACCGGGGACTATAGATGAATCGGAAGAAGACGAATTTGGGAGGTCGGAGGATGTCAAGTTTAAAATTGGAGGTGATTCGCCTTTGCTCACTAGGGGTTTCAGTCCGCTTTCAGGGGGTGTTTCAAGCCTTGCCAGAATCTCCACCTGTAATAGCTCACTGACCAATGTGCCAGGGTTTAGGCAGGATGGCTCCAGGTGGGTGACGAAAAACATAATTTTCTCAAATCATGAAATAGTGTTTAATTGTCAACAAGTGATAATTAAGATAATGGCTGTATCTGTGTGCACGTTGAAATTCTTTGTTTGTTGAAAAGCATTTTTTTATAACAATATTTAAGTTTAATTATTCAATGTCAAGTTTATTATAATTCGTATATGTATTAATCACGCTTTTCTAATTAACTAATTAAAAAAATTTAGATAAAAAAACAAAATTTTATATACATACAATTAATATTTCATTGTGTTTGGAACTCTGGAATTTACTATTT